CTCCCCAGTTGTCTGGGAAAGAGTCATTTTCTCAAATGCAAGCAAACAGATCGGACAAGCGCTGACTGAGGACTTTACCCTCATCTTTGAGCAGTGCGGGTGGAAGGTCATCTGGACCGGTAGCTCGGTGGCGCTTGAGCGAACATATGCAGTCGTAAACCTCCGTAGCCGTAGGTGGTTCCACGTTCACCGTTCAGGCTTCTACTTCACCTGTGGGCTCTAGATGAGTGCCGGCTGGTGGCCACGACAGTTGTTGTTCGTAGTATTCAGCCCACCGGTGGAGGCGTTCTTCTTTGTTCGAGATGGTCGTTCCATTCTGATGCTTGATGGTTTTGCTCACAGGTGGTTTCCGGGGACCGGTCGCACGGATCAACTGAAATGATCTCAGGGCATTACCATCTTTCTGGGCCTCTTCCATTTCCTTGACTTTCTGTGTCCACCATACTTCACGGTCGGATCGCAAGCTCACTTTCACTTGCCTGATTGATACCGGTGATTGAGTAGACCCTACAAAAACCATTATTATTCTTACTCCCGAAAATGAATTTTCGTTGAACATCCCTGAGCCTGTTGCCATTAACGGTTTTATTTCACCTCTGCATGTACAACACAACCCACAATCAATCAATCAATTTACCAGCTGTAAACCATGTGCCCTAGGCACAGCCGTTACAGTTTCGAGCATCGGAAGACGAGGCGAGGGCTTGTTCAGTTTGTTCGGAAATTGGGTAGCTGCGCATTGAAGGCAATAGCTATGGTGTACGAGCGCCACTGACTGCGCGATTAGGCCATTTCCGACAATGTCAATAACCACTGGTGATTTGAGTTCCGGGGTCTCCATCCAGGGAGGCGACAGTTGCCCGCCCGACTTAGTTTACTGGTTAGTGTTTTCGCATTTCGTTGCCAGGTCATACACTGTCCACCTCTCGGACGCTTCCACTCAGCACAGGGCTGGGAGAAAAGAGCTCTGTGAGGCAGACCGACAGTGTTAATATGGCACAAGGATTAGTTTTTTTCGGAAGTTTATTTAGGATGTACTTTACACCCTTTTTGGAACTGGCCATACATTTTACCTTGCAATTTTATTGAATTCTTTAACAGACGGATGGTTGGTTTCTTTCAGTTCACATAATAAACCACAATATTTCCGTTTTGTCAGCCTCGAGTTTATACTAACGCTTTGATCACAAGACCAGTCAAGTATTCTTTTAGACGTCAACTCACACCACCTAGTCACGTGGTTTGTCTCTTGCACGCATTTTGATTATGTGAAATTCTCCGAACCCATGTCACGTGACGTGACTCTCGAGCTTTGTTTTTGCTTACACATTCCTCATTTTTTCATTTCACATTTCACTATCGAGCTCAAATTGGAAGTTTTCTTCGTGGGACATTTCTTATCTGGAAAATGGATGCTTTGGTGTTGATGTGTAATCAGTATCAATTTCGTCTCCCTTGTTAGTAGTAAGTGGCTTTCATGGAAAGGAACCTTACAAGGAAACAGATAACACGAGGACTGTAAGAAATGACGGCAAAATATAAGCAATGATGGGAAAGCGGTTCCATATTCAGTGGTAGGAGTGCTGGCAGGGACTCGAACTGAAGCCATACTAGGTGGTGGACTGAATCATGAACTGCAGTTTCACTTGATCAAAGTTGCACCGAGGGTGGCATCATTAATCCTAGAGGAATTGGAAGATTTATACCTTTGCAAAATTATTTTTACACTTTAATTCTCGGGACGATAAACTTGCGTGTTATCAAATAGGGAGCCCACGCTCATTCTGAAGGAAACCACGTAGAAGTGGGAGGAGTGGCAACCCACCTCGTGACCCAGCCTTCCAGGTTGTCGAGTGTTTCTAATGTCATCACCATCATCATCATTGGCAGCACGACATCAGTGTTCAACACTGATTCTTTGCTGCCGTACTCTTCCTAATGTAATATTTTTTTAAAGGAAGTTTTAAATGTCGATACTACGTCCATAACGTCTTATTCCTTTTGTTGCACCTTCGCTCAACGTCTTTTCAGATGAGCCGTTGTATGGCCAGGTTCCATCGAATAGTATTATCCACACTAATCGGTCCGTTCATTTGCTATGGACCGATGATTCACCAGTAGACTACGTTTCGTTTTCTCGTGATTCGTCGGTATTTGGGACCGATCAGATGGATTGCTTTACGATCGATGGGGACAATTCGCAATGGAACCCAACTGAGTGTTTTCAAGAAAGAAACTTCATTTGCCAACTTTCGTCGTCCGATGTCTCCGAGGATGTCAGCGAGACCCAAGGTATCCTAATCTCTTATGTTTTTGTACTCGCGTCACTCCATACATCGAGCTTCTCTAATCGAAAACTGATGGTTAACAGTTGTCTGGCCAGCCTCATTCAACTTCTGTAGGAATCTACGAGATTAGGAATCGTACCACTAAGCCCCGCTTTGTGTACCGTGTTGGTACGTACTGGGTGTGCATTTGTAGCATAAGGCTGCACAACGTGGATCTAAGTACTGTCCGACAATCCGAAGTGCGCATTCAATCCTTGTGTTGGAAAATCAAACTGTTTGGTAGAGTGCTTCAGAACACTTGTATCACACTGTGTCGGCTGAGCAGGTGAGCGATTAACATGTGCATAAAGAGAACATGTGGTAATGTACAACGCGATTCTCGAAACATTAGGAGACGGAGATTTCATACGAGGTTTTACGGAGGTTTCGGACGAATTGTGTGATCGTGAGAAGGAGCGATAACACTGCCATTCAGGAAGACGTCAGTTACCAATGTGAATGGGTTGACTAGTAGGAATTTTCATGCTTTGTTTTGCAAGTCATGGGCTGAGCGGCCCTGGGTCATGTCCATCCGACACAAAGCTGATCGAAGAGGGCTCTATGCGGTACACAGTCCCTTGGCATATGAAGTACATGGCCTAACTAGCTGACCTTTTGGGAGCGAATGAGCTTTCCCGAAAGCCCTATGGCGTACCTCACGTCTGCTGATCTGTTGTTTGAGCCAAGCTCGCGCCATTCTTTGGAGGCACTGGTGGTCAGGCATAGATAACCTTCGAAGTTTTTTAACAAACAGCGGCCACGTCTCTGACCCATAAAACAGGACCGGCCGAACCGCGTCATTGTACACTTTGCCTTTGACAGTCAAGCTGGTGTCACCCAGCGCGACAAATATCAGGTTGACAAACTCTGCCCTGGACTCGATTTCGCCTTTCACCCAGACTTATGCAACTCCACGGATATTCCAGCCACTGTCGGAGGTTTCGCCAACTGGTACTAAATTCGTCGCCCGTTCTGAACTAACAATCTGTTTGTGATACAAGGGGTACGAGTTTCGATTTGGTAGCCTAATTTTTAAGCAAAGGTAGACATGAGTGTCCTTAGCTGTCTTAGTGTATAGCATCACATTTACACCATATTTTATAAGCTGGGCAGCCAGACGGTACTAGCTTTAACGTTTCTCGCTCAGTAACAGTCAGGTGATGTCTCGTTTATTTGGTGCTCATTCCCTTCGTTAGGGTCTCTGTAAACCTACCTAACAATTTGAACAATCAAGCCAAATGTGAAATCTGGCTACTGCATTTTCAGGCACCGCTGTGCGCTTTAGCTTGATCTGTAGTATGTTTACTAATAAGTCAATTGAAGTAATGTAATCGTTCAGCTGTGATACACTTTCAGTGCTTAGCTGCCACACAACCCGTAGGGTGCAGGAGGGCTGAGATATTTCTAGGATGCCCAAGCCTGAGTAGGAGCAATCAAAAGTTCAGCGATGGATTCAAACGATGGCCGTCAGTCTAACTGATTAACCTATGAAATGCCTATGTTAACGTGGCGATGTTTTTAGTACTGCAGAAAATAGGTTAGTGCATTTCTGTTCTCTGAATGGATGACACGCGAAACCGTACTCGAGATGCCTGAGCGATTAGGGAGAAAAACTAATGCCCTGTAGGTTCATGGTTTGAACTCAACACTAGCCTTTTGATTAATTCTACCTCGATTTGGGCCGCTTGACGATACCTCATCCTACATGCCTTAGTTAACTTTCGCAGTGGTGGTACTCCGCGGGGGTGCTACGATATATCTTGCTGACTTCCACACGTTGAACGAATTCTCGTTTTTGAGGTGATCGATCGATGTGCAACCTCTGGGTGACTCTTATTTTGTAGTCGTTTTCAGACCTTGACTTTGCTCAACTGTTGCGTTTCAATGCACATACATGATTTAGCTACACGTCTTTGTGTTGTGCCAATCTACCAAGTTCGGTACTGTTGTGTGCATCACAGACAATCACTAGCCTGAAGGTGTATAACCCTGAAAGTTGAGTTTGCTTAGAACACAATTATTAGTAATTTCGTTTCAAAGTGATAGTGTAAATTGTTTCCATGTGACCACTGTAGAGCCGAATTTTTCGAATGTTCGGGCAGGTGGGTAGGGTGACGTGACATTTTACCCATCAATCTTGCGCTAAATTTCTCTGGCCTGGGACAAACTGGTCCTTCTAATCTGGAGATCTTCTGTAGAAAGGAAGGAAGCTCCGAGTCAGAACAAGATGAACACTTGGGATGTTCTTTAACTGGGTCCTGCTCTGCCACTAAAATCCCTTCCACAGCGATCGAATTAGTTTTCACAATTTTATTTCCCATTTGTCTCATTGCGGCAGCTCACTAGCTCACCGGGGCCACAGAGGAGATTTCTGAATTTATTGTCTGTTTAACAAGACGGCTTCCTTTAGTGGTTGACCACCTTATCTTGATAGCTTAGTTGGTATGATCTTTCATTCTTATAATCTGTGATTCTAGACACTCCTGTCCTTGCAGTGAACTGCGACAACACTTTCCCTTTGAACTCCAAGTCCTCTGGCGACTGCTACCGTATCCTTCAGTCTGCACAGACCTGGGCAAGTGCAGAGCGTGCTTGCAGTTCTCTAAGAACGGGCGCCCACTTGGCCTCATTCCATAACCGAGAAGAGTTGGACGAATTGGTATGTTTGTGACATATTAATATTCATTGTTTACCGAGTATAGGCCACTGTGATTATGCATCATGTGGTGCTGGTCTCGTCTCCGTCTTCAACCATTGTTCACAAGTTTTGAAGCTGCTTTATTTTTGTCCCCGTTATAGCCGCAAAGAAGTCGCATATTGACTTTTGAACTTTTTCGATGCATGAATATGTATTTTCGTGTACTTCATGCAGTTCAAGTCGGTTACCCAATTGCATCGAGAGATAATGCAAACTGATGACTTCAGACGGCGTTCGGACGCGCGTAGATAAATGAATTGCTTGGTGAAAGTTGTGTAAATGGAGCAGAAACTGGTTGTGGTGCATAATTCAAGGCGTCGAACAAGTATTGTCCTCTTAAGGTTACAATTTTTCATAAATTCGGATGCTCCAATTCGAACGGAAGCAGAGGAAATCTCAGTAGTGCCTCGCACAGCATGGTGCTTTCATTCAGTTTATCTAATGATCAGCTCTCACATATCGCAGACAACGTATACACTCCTGGAGCACCACACTCGTATCCAGGATTTCCCTCTTGAGTGTAGACTAACCAGAGCAATCACACCAGAGTAGTAGACTGACCCTTCAGACAAACGAACGAAATTAGCAACAGTTAAGTAGTGGTCATCATCATCATTGACAGCATGACATCGATGTTCATCACCGATGCTTCGCTGCCGTACAACCATGATTTATTTGAAAGCTTTATTTTAAAGAAAAGAACGAAGGTGGATGGGGAACGGACTGAGTGCTAGCTTACCACAATCATTGCGAGGTGCATACACCTCCAGACATTCTCAGACATTCTGTATAGAAACTGAATGAATAATTAATACCATTCTACACAGTTATTTGTGTTCTTTTTCCAAGGTCGATCTCGTTTCGCAAAGTGGCTTTCAAAAGGAGAATGTTTGGATTGGACTGTACGAGTCGGACCTCGCCTATCACTGGTCAGATGAAAGTGCTGTCACTTATATCCCATTATCCGCTGATCAGAGTAAATACGGTCGGCATTTATCACAAGACTGTTTCGTCCTATCACCCAGTTTGGATGTGGGTAAGGAAAATTTTGTAAAAGATGCTATATTCATAATTACATTTGAGAGACTTGAAATCGAACGCCTATACGTTAGTTTGTGCATATACTAACTGGTCGTTCCGTCGTAGCAAATCCTTTCAGCGCCTAGCTGCCATACCACCCAAAGTCACGAGGGCTAGGATACTGCCAGGTTGCTCAAGCCGAGAGAGTAGCAATCGAGATGCCGGATTTGGGTCCGAACAACGGACTCCCGATCAACAAACTCGCACCTTAATCACTGGGCCATAAGGAGCTCGTTGCTAGCTGGAAAACAATCACGGCAGTTCATTTCTACTCGGACACATCCCGTTTGGTTTGGTTAAGACAAATCCTCTCCCTCACGCACCGCGACTTCTCTTGCTGTTGGTCGATTTTGCCTTCTCAGCAGCACCAACTTTCCAGTCGAGTCGAATACTGTTGTTTACTGCCGCAATATTAGCGCAGCATGGAACAACAACGTACGCATTCTTACGACCCGACTCATGTAGCATATTTACAGTTTAATCACAAACCAAGATTTTCAGCCAAAGGCGCTAATTTGAACATCCTAAACTGGAATTCGAGTTGCGAATACTAACAGAGAAATTTTCCCAACCAGTCACTACCTCCCATCTTTTCCGCATTAAGGCTTTCCGGATTTTGTGAAATTCCCAAAAAGAACCGACAGGAATGTCAAACCATCAGGACAAAAAGCTAAAGATCCTACCTAAATTTAAAGCGCCTCATGGAGTCTGAGGTGTCGCGAATCCCTCATGGATTCAGTCCTCAGCCATGTATTCAAATACTACGATTCTTGCCAATTCATTTCAATAGTCTCAAATAATCTCTGTTTTTTCGGTATATCGTAGCATGAGAAAAAGCGGACGAAGTCTCTATATTTGTAATGTACTACTCATAAGGTTGCTGAAAATCCATCGACAGCCCACGACCGGTTTCGCCCTTCTTGGGGCTCATCAGGTAGGCGCCTACCTGAAACATGAGGCGGCCTGGTGCAGCACATTCAGTTGCCTGAGAACGTCATAAACGGACGAAGTCTCCTTTATTTCCATTGTGTTCACTAGGTTATTTTGCGCATCAGCTGAAATGCTTCGAGTATCCGCAGCGCAAATCTTTTTCTTCAAATTTTTTTCATGAGCAGTTGGGTAGAAATTTCGTTTTGGAAACACCAATCCACTCTTTTGCCTTCTGTTTTTACTGACACATTTCGCACGATGCTGACGAGTGATGCCGAAACAAATACAGTTTCCATGGTAAAAAAATGACACACTTGACCGTGGGTTTTCTTCCCAATCTTCGTCAGCCTGGAGAGTCTCAATGACTGACTCAATGAACTGGACAGCGAAACACAAAAATAGACGGTATAGTGCACACTAGTCCGCCAGTTGAGTGGTTGCCAACATCGAGAGTGAACTGCGACAACACTTTCCCTTTGAACTCCAAGTCCTCTGGCGACTGCTACCGTATCCTTCAGTCTGCACAGACCTGGGCAAGTGCAGAGCGTGCTTGCAGTTCTCTAAGAACGGGCGCCCACTTGGCCTCATTCCATAACCGAGAAGAGTTGGACGAATTGGTATGTTTGTGACATATTAATATTCATTGTTTACCGAGTATAGGCCACTGTGATTATGCATCATGTGGTGCTGGTCTCGTCTCCGTCTTCAACCATTGTTCACAAGTTTTGAAGCTGCTTTATTTTTGTCCCCGTTATAGCCGCAAAGAAGTCGCATATTGACTTTTGAACTTTTTCGATGCATGAATATGTATTTTCGTGTACTTCATGCAGTTCAAGTCGGTTACCCAATTGCATCGAGAGATAATGCAAACTGATGACTTCAGACGGCGTTCGGACGCGCGTAGATAAATGAATTGCTTGGTGAAAGTTGTGTAAATGGAGCAGAAACTGGTTGTGGTGCATAATTCAAGGCGTCGAACAAGTATTGTCCTCTTAAGGTTACAATTTTTCATAAATTCGGATGCTCCAATTCGAACGGAAGCAGAGGAAATCTCAGTAGTGCCTCGCACAGCATGGTGCTTTCATTCAGTTTATCTAATGATCAGCTCTCACATATCGCAGACAACGTATACACTCCTGGAGCACCACACTCGTATCCAGGATTTCCCTCTTGAGTGTAGACTAACCAGAGCAATCACACCAGAGTAGTAGACTGACCCTTCAGACAAACGAACGAAATTAGCAACAGTTAAGTAGTGGTCATCATCATCATTGACAGCATGACATCGATGTTCATCACCGATGCTTCGCTGCCGTACAACCATGATTTATTTGAAAGCTTTATTTTAAAGAAAAGAACGAAGGTGGATGGGGAACGGACTGAGTGCTAGCTTACCACAATCATTGCGAGGTGCATACACCTCCAGACATTCTCAGACATTCTGTATAGAAACTGAATGAATAATTAATACCATTCTACACAGTTATTTGTGTTCTTTTTCCAAGGTCGATCTCGTTTCGCAAAGTGGCTTTCAAAAGGAGAATGTTTGGATTGGACTGTACGAGTCGGACCTCGCCTATCACTGGTCAGATGAAAGTGCTGTCACTTATATCCCATTATCCGCTGATCAGAGTAAATACGGTCGGCATTTATCACAAGACTGTTTCGTCCTATCACCCAGTTTGGATGTGGGTAAGGAAAATTTTGTAAAAGATGCTATATTCATAATTACATTTGAGAGACTTGAAATCGAACGCCTATACGTTAGTTTGTGCATATACTAACTGGTCGTTCCGTCGTAGCAAATCCTTTCAGCGCCTAGCTGCCATACCACCCAAAGTCACGAGGGCTAGGATACTGCCAGGTTGCTCAAGCCGAGAGAGTAGCAATCGAGATGCCGGATTTGGGTCCGAACAACGGACTCCCGATCAACAAACTCGCACCTTAATCACTGGGCCATAAGGAGCTCGTTGCTAGCTGGAAAACAATCACGGCAGTTCATTTCTACTCGGACACATCCCGTTTGGTTAAGATAGAACAATTCCTCTCCCTCACGCACCGCGACTTCTCTTGCTGTTGGTCGATTTTGCCTTCTCAGCAGCACCAACTTTCCAGTCGAATTTTCTACTGTTGTTTACTGCCGCAATATTAGCGCAGCATGGAACAACAACGTACGCATTCTTACGACCCGACTCATGTAGCATATTTACAGTTTAATCACAAACCAAGATTTTCAGCCAAAGGCGCTAATTTGAACATCCTAAACTGGAATTCGAGTTGCGAATACTAACAGAGAAATTTTCCCAACCAGTCACTACCTCCCATCTTTTCCGCATTAAGGCTTTCCGGATTTTGTGAAATTCCCAAAAAGAACCGACAGGAATGTCAAACCATCAGGACAAAAAGCTAAAGATCCTACCTAAATTTAAAGCGCCTCATGGAGTCTGAGGTGTCGCGAATCCCTCATGGATTCAGTCCTCAGCCATGTATTCAAATACTACGATTCTTGCCAATTCATTTCAATAGTCTCAAATAATCTCTGTTTTTTCGGTATATCGTAGCATGAGAAAAAGCGGACGAAGTCTCTATATTTGTAATGTACTACTCATAAGGTTGCTGAAAATCCATCGACAGCCCACGACCGGTTTCGCCCTTCTTGGGGCTCATCAGGTAGGCGCCTACCTGAAACATGAGGCGGCCTGGTGCAGCACATTCAGTTGCCTGAGAACGTCATAAACGGACGAAGTCTCCTTTATTTCCATTGTGTTCACTAGGTTATTTTGCGCATCAGCTGAAATGCTTCGAGTATCCGCAGCTCAAATCTTTTTCTTCAAATTTTTTTCATGAGCAGTTGGGTAGAAATTTCGTTTTGGAAACACCAATCCACTCTTTTGCCTTCTGTTTTTACTGACACATTTCGCACGATGCTGACGAGTGATGCCGAAACAAATACAGTTTCCATGGTAAAAAAATGACACACTTGACCGTGGGTTTTCTTCCCAATCTTCGTCAGCCTGGAGAGTCTCAATGACTGACTCAATGAACTGGACAGCGAAACACAAAAATAGACGGTATAGTGCACACTAGTCCGCCAGTTGAGTGGTTGCCAACATCGAGCTAGGAAGCTGAAACGTGCAAGGTACAATTGTATACCCGGATTTTTCGGACCTAAAAACTGAATCTGCAGTGACTCGGTTGTGCGGTGTTCGCGCTGGACCCCCAAAGCTAATCGATCGACGCGAACACAGAGGTCCATTAGCGAAACGCCGTCGGAAGGACTCGTTCGATCAAGTTCGGCTTAACCTTCGGAGGTTAGCAGCTAGCTACCCATACAACGGTACTGGAACGAACTTTCCGTGAATGTCGTTGTGTAGACCACAACAGGTCAAACCGTAGCCACGTGGGTGTGGTCTAAGTTCAACTTCTCGGACTTAAATATTATTGAGTTAAGTTGTCTGGATGTCTCCATATGTGCTTGTGAAGGAAATGACTTGACACACAGAACACTTTGGTGTGCCAAGCTTGCAAACGTGCTAGAAGTGAATGTCTGCGACCACCGTTATACAGTAAGAACTAGTTTTGGCCGGCTTTTGGTGCTCATCCGGTGACCTCTCTTTTCATGCATTGTGGGTTTCAACTGTTTAATTGTCTCCTCAATGCTTGATAATTATTTGCCATCAATTTAGCGTTTTATGGTTTTAGAAATGCTTATTGTTTACCATTCCATTTTTCACAATTTCTGTTCCCCCTCTTATTCTCAATAGGTTCCTACACCGTACGGGCTGTTGATTGTTCCAGCTCACAATCGGTTATGGTTTGCAAAAGCCCAAGCAAAAATCCAATCCCTTCCCGTATTGACGATCCTACGCAATGGAAACTGATGATCTGTCCTCCTGGCTATAGACAGTATGCGGATCGCTGTTTCTCGGTAACTCACTACCAAGGCCTCGTCATTTTCATTTGATCGTCTTTTCAAGCACGCTATCTCATACTCGTGATAGACACGTAATTCATTTCGGTTATTGTGGCCGTTCTATGCGGTGATCAGATAATACTATGTGCCTACAGAAAAGTCGATTTTTTCATTGCCACCAGCCGATATTATCGAAGTAACTGGATTGTTACGCGCAAAAATGTAGGATTAGGTTTTATGTACGGTCCACGGAAATGTGAAATCTAAGGCTGCCCACTTATTAGGGCGGTCCAGTTGGGATCACATACATGCACCTGTCCCAAAACGTGCTCCCAACACTTCAGACTGTTTCAGACTGAATGATATATGGCCTTTGCAAATTGGAATGTACAACAAATACATGCACACCTCATAGTGTAAGAACAGAAGGCTGAACTATTGTCGGGTCACTGCGTTTTGAGCAGAAACAGTACAGTATGCATGTTTGTACTTAGAAGGACCCTATCAGTATCTCATGCCCACTTTTTTGAACTGCGTCGAGTTTGTGCAGAACCCACCGTCATCTATTCCTATCCTGTTTGTTGAACTTATGTCCATTTCAAACCATCGGCTGCAACGGCACCATTGTTGAGTCATGCGTTTTTACTACTGGCGAACCCCACAGGTTCATTTAGAAGCTTTCCCTTTGTAACACAGGACAATTTATGGATAATTGGGTCTGTTGTCATCCTTTTCGTAATGCCTGCACAGAAAACTAGATGGAGCTTGATAGTATATCGGTGGTTACCAAGACAGCTTCCAGTTCCAAGTGCAGACGTAGTCGAGCACTGGTCCCTTGTTAATGTCGTAATATAAATAATCGGGGCTTTCAAAAGAATAAATTAGACTGATTCATCAAGCTCACTAAATTCTGAAATGTGGTTGCATTTCCACCTCTCGGCCTTTACCTTGTGTCGGATACAGGGTTTGGAGATGAATTTGACCGACAAACGACATCCATACTCCATTATCTGTTTCAGGTCCTGCAGCAATCGACCACTTGGGCGGAGGGTGACCGAAGATGTGTTGAGCAAGCGAAACAGTTTCACGGCTACTCTGGTTCACTAGCTCGCATTGACACTAGTCTCGTTCAAGGCAAGTTATCTGTACTGTTATGCTGATTTTACACGCGGTCGTTTATATTTCTCTAGTCGTTGATCATTTTCTTTGACACATTTCGTTTGATGAGGCCTGCTCTGATCGGAACGTATGATTGTCGAGTCACCGCCTGCTAAGACGAGCACTGAGTTCTGTGCCTATTTTGGAGTGGCGGAAACTTGAAAGTAGAAAGCATGACATTTGGCAGAACGATAAGTATGTTCGCTTTTCGCTGTCGAGGTTAGGGTGTCCACGTGATCCTCGGATTTTGCTTGCAATACTGAACGATATGGTGACTGATCGATGTTAGCGGCGTTCATACTGTCAATTTCTATCCATGTTGTCTGACTGAGTGTTGAGGGTGTACGCACCTAGGATGATTGTTACAGACTAGCCCTAGGTCCACCATACCTCATTTCTTTCCCCTTTCCATTAGAGGCTTTATTCAGATAAGCTGACTTGGTCGTACAATAGTGATGCACCGATGTTCTCATCTGATATTGCTGTCAATGATGATGATGCTCTGATTAAAAAGACGTATTATCTGGGCACGATGTCATGTTGGTTTACGCCGTCTATGAGATTGGTGTGCGCGAGGTTAATTTCGCCAATGAATAGATACCGAGATCTTTGGGTTGTATGGTGAATAGCGGTTTTGTATCCATTCATTCGGCATTATTCTTTACAGTCCATTGTTCCTCTTCCCTGATCGACCTTTATTGATCCCCTCTATCTTGTGCCATCGGTATCCGAGTGCTGTGGCTACCCAAATCAACGCACATTATTATGCAGCTTATCGTTGACAGAAACCTCATGGGTGGCATTCATTGTCCTCCTGGTCTGTTATCTCTACTCACCCTCAAGACACAGATGAGGTCTGCAAATTTCCTTTCCATCAGGTGGGGATGAATCAACCTGCTAGGCAGGTTCACTGTGTACACACTCCAGCGGTTACGTGTGACCGTTTATGTAGCGCTTGGATTAACGATTGTGTCGGAGAACATGTTTGCAGGTTGGTCGCACTCACTTCCTTGGCTGACCAGCACCCTGAACAGAAAATTTGGCCACGCGTTTCTGTGGACTATTCAGTCTCATTCATAACCTCATCGTGTTATTTGTGCTCCAGCCATTCATCCAGTTTTGCTTTAATAACGGGCGTGGGATGTCATGTAGTTTGTTGGTTCCCCATGTGTGTTAGCTCGCTAACCTACTCATTTGCTAATCATGAACCAGTTTGTATCATGCTTCCTTTTGATGCCAATCGGTTGCCCACTGCCTGACTGAGTCTACTTGCGAGCATACAATCAACCACTCTACAAAAGACTTGCCACTTCTTTCCGACTTCTAACAGGAATACATTCTTTCACTCTTTGTGCACGTCAACCGTTAGTTCCATTGATGGTGATCACTGTGGCTTGCTGACCAGATAGGTGTATTTCTATACCTTAAACTGGTGAAAGTCTTTAGCTTGTCCCGAGGTTCATCATTCCGGCATATAATTTGGTTCACCACGTGTCCCGCTTCAATAAGGTCAATCTGTGGTTGTTTTGGAGGCCTTTGGTCATACTTGTGTCTGCAGTGAGTATGTTTACAGTGAATTTCATCAAGGTCGAGTTGAAAACATCTGGCTCAGAAGCAGTGGAAAACCAAAAAATTCACGCGTAATTCAGTACCTGACGGTCACGGAACTTACGTTACTTAAGTAATCCTCATATCTTTTGAGCACAATTTCGCATGTGATTGGGACGATGCAGAGTTAAGTGGATCAGTATAGTAGACACCAATAGTATAAATGGATGTTTCAAGATAGCGTTAACATTCCCTACCGTATATTTGCCGGCTATGTTGGGCAGATACTTTAGAGCGTTTCACCACGAATCGAGGTGACGGAAAAGCATCATTGGTATCCTCTCGGTTAGTGCTAAAAAGCTCGCAGTCTAACTGTCCAGCGTTTTGAACGGATCGATCGAATTGTCGAACTAACAAGCATTATCGACCGGAGGTCAAATGGTCTGCGAAAAATGTGGTTGGTCTGGAGCTACAGAAAATATGCCGCTTGTTACTGGCTGTTCATCACACAGGCTTGAGGCAAACGAGAATTCATGTGAGTAATGTGACATCTACTAGTTGCTTGTGATAGTGGGTTGTCGTTTTTCTACCCATTCATAATAGAACTGCAGCATCCGCATAATTTGCCGCGCCCACATAAAATGGACACATTGAGTCCTATTCTCAATAATCTTGGTTCGCTTTTCGCACAGAATTCGTCGCCAGTCTATTGGATGATTTGCCACCGAAGATCTCGTCGGCTTGGATTGGACTGCAACAAAGCCTTTCGAATGATACACCTAGCGCGATTTGGTCAGATGGTTTACAGTGTCGGTTCATGCGCCCAATCCATCGAGAAGCTATTCAGGAAGTCGTCAACTCAGGACAACTTTCGGTTTGTTATGCATTTATTTCAAGTTATTTTTACTTGAACAAGTAATTAGTTAATGTCGATCGCCTGCCATCACCTCACTTCAAGCATTATTGCACTCCCGGTCTCCTGATTTGACTAAGCGTCTCACTCTATTTAATCAGTTTATCCTATAACCTAACTCCGAATGCACATACTGTTACTCCAAGAGGTGGAGCAAATAACCCCTTTCTTCATTTTGATTCTTCATGACTCTTGTGTGTGTTTCAGCTTTCGCCCACTCTACTGAATAAGTCTTTCAAGAAGGTGTTCATAGTGTACTGACTGTTGTTCAATCCAAACCAACTAAATATCCGCTATAAACAGCCTTACATAGATTCGAGAACTAGCTGTAAGCATGATCATCATTGTCAGCTGTAATAACCGCGTACTCGTCCTACAGCGGTTGTAGCTGCCACAGTTTCGTTCACCAATGATTTGGGGGGGGGAGGGGGAGGTAGCTGCGCATTGTAGGCATAGTGGATTATTTACTAATCATATCTTGTCACAGTACCGTCACGCAATGTCTTCACTCCACAACGAATGGTTTGTTTAACAGCGATTCGATTTTCTGTTGCAGTGTTTCCCCAGTAGTCTGTTGTATCACGCAGAATGGCTTTCTCATAATGCCTTATTTACTCGCTTTTTCTCTCTCGCTTGCAGATGTGTACCGCTCTGTATCGTTCAACCTACCCTCGTTTGAACGGTCTATGGCTGCAATGGTCCTGTGAAAAACCCGTGCTTCTAGCGAGCATTTGTCAGGCCTCTCCACCACCCGTTCGGACCGATGACCTTAAATTGACATCTTCTAGCTGCCCTTCAGGTTTCTATCTCGGGACAACTGGGCTTTCGCCGATGTCACCCGGGGGCCGGACCGGAAAATCACCTGTCTGCTATCGTCTCCTTAATACAAACAAAAAGTTGAACTGGAAGGTATGTTCCTTACCCACTTTTTCTATCTGGCCTGGCAATTCCCACTAGACCACTGTCATGTGTACCGTTTGTGAAGTATCTCAGGAGATATCTGAGTTCGGGTTTATCCACTCCGAATACTGTCTTTACCGCAAATTCTTCAACACTAAAAGGAAGGACGAAAGAGATGGTATAGTTCTTAGAGGTGCCCAACGGATCAATATTTATGTTTAAGTTGCGTTAAAATTATTCGTCTGCAAGGTCAAATAGCGACGCAATATGTAAACATCGCTTGATATGTTTTGTCTACCGTTTCGTTTTGTTCATTCGCTTTTGTGTGATACAATCATTTTTAAACTATGGTTTTTGGATTTTCGATTGGGATCATATACGAAGCTTTTCACATTAACATATCTTATTTTTCAAGTAAGTTCTTATTATGTTTTCCTGTGTTTCGAAGGCCTCCTGTGAGTTCAGTTCTCATCAAATATTCCGTCAGTTCACACCATGGGAAGAACCATCATAAGGAGATGGATGTTATACTTACACTCCTGCAGCAGTGGCCTTTCTAACGAGCTTTAGTTTGAACAACCTAAGATTGCGGTCAATTTATTCTCCACAACTGTCGTCAGACACAAACTTGAATGCAAAAAATGCATGCGCTGTTCCACCCAGTACGACAACTACTCCACTTGTGTGCTGTCCGCAAACTGTCTATGTTGGTGTATACCGTGGTTGTTTTGTATTGTGGTAGACCTCTCACCACCTATATATCAAATATCCTCACTTTTTCGTCTCTTCTGTGGCTTACTCCATATTATTGTGCGTGTCTGTGACCGTTGACAAGTGTGACTAATGATTTTTGGTCTCAAACTGCACTTGGGTTTTTGATTTTTTAATACGAGTTAGTGCAAGAAGTACAGCATGCAGACAGCTCACTGGACTATTGTTTGTTGTTCTAAAAACCGAGATACAGGATTCCTAATGATATGTCTTGTTCAGGAATTAATGTAAAATTTAGGTCAAATGCTCCCTGAGCGATGACCAAACCACACTAATCCGACTACAAGTAGCTTTGGATGCTGACCTGCAGAATGGAAAAAAAATATCAGAATTACCCCGCCGTTCATTTGGTCGTTGGTGTGTTGTTTTGGCTTACTCATCATAGTTGTACACTCTTTGGTGGTCTACAGTCAACTTTATGTTTACCTCCTGAACGTATGGCTTAGTTTCCGTTTTTTCAGTAACGTGTGTGTGGTTCAAGGTCACTGTGCGGTGGTTGGTAGGTCTTAAAACATGCATTCGTGTAGTTACCATTGCTGACCAATACACCGATTTTTTAGCTTATCGTTTTCTGCATCATTATTTTATGATTAGAACGTTTTTCGAACCTGAAAGGCAGTCGTTAATAGTAATGAATTAGGCTGTATTTTTAATATCTGGTTCACTGGACAAAGCAGATTCGTAAAATCACCCGTATTTTGGTGCGTCCATGCTTTATTTTGATCGCTCTGAACTATCCAAAGTGAATACAGAGGCAATTAAGCAGTAATGAACCAGAAAGCTATGAAGTGGGCCGTGTGGTAAAACAGTTGAGGAAGTCTTTGATTGGTGTAGAATATTCTTTTTTCCTCGAGATTCATGAAATGAGTAGTATTGGATAATTTCCACAAGTAGGAAGCAGTTCTTATTGAACAATCAGTGACTGTTTTGTAATTATAAAGAATATACCTCCAACCAGATATATCTAGTCGTTCGATGCTATTCTACTGCTCGACATGTGGCGGCTTCGAATCATTCTGTACACTTTTTTCAAACAATCTACTGATGACTGTAAGCAAAGCTGGAGCACAACCTTTTCGGTATGTGGTAATATTGACTCGCAACACAACTCGCAGTCGAAATGTAACAATTACTACGGAGTTTGGTCCGTAGCATTGTAGAAAACAGGAAACTGAAATGTTGACTACTGCTAGTTATTGATACCCATTTAGAACTGGTGGCAACGCTTTCTTTTAAAGTAGAGTGATTTGTGTTCGGCCGCTGCCCATTGCAGGAGAGCCGATTTCCCGATGACCGGCTAATAAGGTGTCTTGCAGTAAAAGGTCTGGCTTTTTAAACCTTATAGAGTTTTTGGAACTTTTTTATAACGAGTCGTGAAAAATCGAACAATGATGTCAACAACCACCAAATGACTGGTCACATCTCCGAACTTACTCAGCTTTGTCCTAACACCAATTAAGGTACATGGACGGAAACGTTCCATAGGCTTGTGGTCATAAATGGGTTAGCTTACTAGAGCTCTGATAGATTTCTTACAAAAAAGGACGTAGGAGTTTGCAACCATATGTCTGCCATTTTTTATAAGGACAAATCTTCAAAGAGCTTGTATTTTGAGGAGGCGAGCAAAATGTCCAAGTTCGAATTTTCTTATTATAGTTAATGGGACGTCTCTCGAGATGTACACTTCAAAAGCGAATGCCTATCCAAGACAGATTAACGGAACTGACCAGATGGAACTTCCCTAAGTTAGCTACCAGTGGCAACTGTGGCACCCAGGTTCCTTCGGTTACTAATGTGAGACACCGCTCTTTTTTAAGTACCTGGTATCAGCTACGTGCCGGATCTAATGCTACCGAAATAAATCCATCTTGTGTCTATGGATAAGCAATGGATTATTATCCATTCTCAACCGTGCCATGCGTGATAACTATCGGAAAGTCGTGCTAACTAGACGGAAAGGTTGATCAAAGCAGCGCTAGTCTCTGTTCAGTACGGCGAATTTATCGACATGTTTGGTGACATGCGTTTCCGAAGTTTCTCTGAAGGTTGATAGTGCGAATATTTTCACGAGATCAGCTTGAATTTGTAAGGTGGATGCTCACCTTAGATGCATGGATTCTGGTCAGGAAGAAGGAGTACATAAAACAAGACAAGATTAGGAGTTTGTGAAGGGACACCTTGGGACATCTTAGATCATCTTTCCATATTAATTGTCATAGAGTCAGCCACTAACCAGCAACGAAGATAAACTTCGCTTGCCTCTCACTTTAGCCCAGCTTCGGCTCGCATTGGACTTCATTTATATCTGAATTAGAGTCCAGGTGGGATAACGGTTGCTAGAAATTCGAGGAACATGCCCACCTAATGGGTCTTGTTCGGTTTGTTCGCTTGAAAGTTTTTAGCATACTTTCATCAGTATAAGTAGCATAACAAGCCGAGACAAAAAATTCCTTGTCCTTCATCAGTCCAGTTAGACTGTGGTAGCTTAGCGATTTTAGCGTCGATATTGGAATCTCAGGAAAATACAAGTGAGTTAACGGTATCCGATTTGAATTACAGTTCAAATGTTGATAGATGCTTACGACTGCCTATAAGGAACCAGCACTGGTGAGTGATAAGTGGTTTTTCATCCACTTCTACTTCTGTTCCGTTCTTGGTAGGCAGAAATTCATTTTAGTTTGCTAATTTTGTGCTTGATACATGTAAAGAGCGCTCAAGCGTGGTAGTTAGTTTGTCTGTGAAGAATACCTTTCAATATTTTGTTGTGGATGTGCGTCGCATCGTACACGGCTAAGAGGTAGCATCTGCGCGTCGACGAGAATACACGACTACTAAGTAGCCTAAGAAACGTAGTACAGCACCAACCAATCCCGTATGGTACCTGTGAATATAAAATAGCTGTCGGTTGCGACTGTTAAACATATCACCTCGATACTGTCCACCAATTATCTTGTTTGTAAATGCTTGTGAACACATGGAACCGCCTCGGCATGCAGAACGGAAAGGCCGTTGTTTGTACGCATTTCACAGTTTCTAAGATCAGCTGCCAAGTATTCTTCTTTCACAAGAGAACTTTTGACTACCTTTGTTTCAATAAATTAACCTACATTCTGATGGTTGGTTTTCAAGACACATTTCAGTCATGAACTGGGCGGAAGTGGTCTCCACCCGGTGTCTGTTGCCAAACCTGTATCCAAAAGGTAGTGTCAAGATGTAAAAGTGACTGTAAATGGACACTAGGTGCGCTGTGACATTCTGAACACTACCATGTCTTCCGTGTGGTAATGAACTTTTATTGTTATATATATATATATATATATATATATATGTATA